TAAAAGATTGCTTGGTAAATATTCCTCGATCCCTGTGTTTTGATCCTATGTGTGTCTTTGCACATGAGATGGGTCTCCTGAATATATTACATTGATGGGTCTTGACTCTTTATCCAATTTGCCAGTCTGTGTCTTTTAATTGGGGCATTTAGCCCATTTACATTTGAGGTTAATATTGTTATGTGTGCATTTGATCCTACCATTATGATGCTAGCTGGTTATTTTGCCTGTTAGTTGATGGAGTTGCTTCATAGCAACAATGGTCTTTAAAATTTGGTATGTTTTTGCAGTGACTGGCACTGGTTTTTCCTTTCTATGTTTAGTGCTTCCTTCAGGAGCTCTTGTAAGGCAGGCCTGGTGGTGACAAAATCTCTCAGCATTTGCTTGTCTGTAAAGGATTTTATTTCTCCTTCACTTATGAAGCTTAGTTTGGCTGGATATGAAATTCTAGGTTGAAAATTCTTTTTTTCAGAATGTTGAATATTGGCCCCCACTCTTCTGACTTGTAGGGTTTCTGCCGAGAGATCTACTCTTAGTCTGATGGGCTTCACTTTGTGGGTAACCCGACCTTTCTCTCTGGCTGCCCTTAACACATTTTCCTTCATTTCAACCTTGGTGAATCTGATGATTGTGTCTTGAGGTTGCTCTTCTTGAGGAGTATCTTTGTGGTGTTCTGTGTATTTCCTGAATTTGAATGTTGGCCTGTCTTGCTAGGTTGGGGAAGTTTTCCTTGATAATATCCTGAAGAGTGTTTTCCAACTCGGTTCCATTCCCCACGTCACTTTCATGTACACCAATCAAACGTAGGTTTGGTCTTTTCACATAATCACATATTTCTTGAAGGCTTTGTTTCTTTTCACTCTTTTTTCTCTAATCTTGTCTTCTTGCTTTATTTCATTGAGTTGATCTTCAATCTCTGATATCCTTTATTTTGCTTGATTGATTCAGCTATTGATACATGTGTATGCTTCACAAAGTTCTCGTGCTGTGTTTTTCAGCTCCATCAGGTCATTGATGTTCTTCTCTAAACTGGTTATTCTAGTTAGCAATTTGTCTAACCCTTTTTCAAGGTTTTAGCTTCCTGGCATTGGGTTAGCACATTCTCCCCTTTAGCTCAGAGGAGTTTGTTATTACTCACCTTCAGAAGCCTACTTCTGTCAATTTGTCAAACTCATTCTCTGTCCAGTTTTGTTCCCTTGCTGGTGAAGAGTTGTAATCCTTTGGAGGAGAAGAGGCATTCTGGTTTTTGGAATTTTCAGTCTTTTTGCATTGATTTCTCTCCATCTTTGTGGATTTATATACTTTTGGTCTCTGAAGTCAGTGACTGTCGGAGGGGTTCTCTGAGTGTATGCCCTTTTTGTTGATGTTGATATTATTCTTTTCTGTTTGTTATTTTTCCTTCTGATGATCAGGCCCCTTTGCTGCTCTTTACCAGTGATTGCTACAGGAGTTGGTATGTAATCCAGTTTTGGCAAAATAGGTAGAAATATTTAATTCCCTCATAAAAGAAGAAAGGGTTTTGGCGGGGCACAGTGGCTCATGCCTGTAATCCCAGCACTTTGGGAGGCTAAGGTGAGTGGATCACAAGGTCAAGAGATCGAGACCATCCTGGCCAACAAGTTGTGTAGGGAACCAGCTCTATATCACCTCTGGGTACCTTGAGTTCAGTGGTGACAAAGGAACGAGAAAAAGACAGATTAAGAGAGACATTGGGACCAGGGGTCCATCACTTTATTATTGGAGGCAGTGAAGGCCCCGAGCTCTGATCATCCACATGATTTATTGATTACGACCACTTTGATCTGTAGGGTAGGAGTGATGGTGGAGTGAATCAGTGAGCCGGGACTGGTGTGTCATCCTAAGGATTGATAACGGTGGTGATTTGGGAGTTTCACAAAACAAGAACAAGTGGTTATCTTTAGCTTATTATCTATGTGCAGCTGATGGAACTCGGGCCTTACAAGGAGCCTACAAGTCTGGCTATGTCATAGTACTACGAAGGGGTTTTGCGTCCTTGAGCACAATGTTTATAGCAACAGAGCCGAGGTCACCCTGCACTGGAACATGAGGCATAGAGAGGCCTTCCTCCTCAGAGGCCTCCTGCGGCCCTCTGCAGTTGGTTGTTCCTTGTTTATATGTTACTCATAACCAAATTATGTGAGCATCTGCAAGTCCTTTCTCCTTTGCTGCTTTTCCCAACAAAAGTGAAACCCCATCTCTACTAAAAATACAAAAATTAGCTGCGCATGATGGCACGTGCCTACAGTCCCAGCTACTCGGGAAGTTGAGGCAGGAGAATCACCTGAACCCTGGAAGCGGAGGTTGCAGTGAGCTGAGATCATGCCACTGTACTCCAGCCTTGAGACAGAGGAAGACTTCATTAAAATAAATAATAAATAAGTAAAGAAGAAGAAAGGGTTTTGAGAGGGTAATTTCTGACTGTCATGGTAACATCCTTGCTGCCTGTTTTCTGATGTTCTCATGGAAAGACATGTCTGGAGTTCTGGCAACCATTGTACAACCATGAAATAACAAGCTAAAAGACAAAAATTAGCCTACTGAAAATGCCCAATGGAAAGAGCTCAGGATCTTGATGTTATCAGTTTAGTAACTGAATCAGTGCCAGCAGTCACCTTTAACAAATCCTTAGAAGATAATTAAACGTATTTCTCACTTAAGTCACAGTTATGCAGATTGTTTCTTAATAGGAAAGCATCTTTTATGATACGTTTTTTTCTTGTGATTTTACTTTAACGTTTACTATTTATAGTCATAAATATTTTATCACATTAGAACAATTTTATCTTTGTCCAATAATTTGTGCTCAAGTAAAGTGCTCCTAAAAATTTGTCACTATGGGCTAATAGAAATAAAGCAGTATTCAAATGATCAATCAATGGGATAAAACACTGTTAATTTAGAAGAAAGAACTCTACAAAATGCTAGAGATGATAAGATAAAAAGCAACCTTAAAGCAAAGACACACTGTAAGAACTGTACATCTATGCTCGCTACATGAGTTTTATTTGTAAGGAAATAAGTCTTAAACAATATGAACTTTAAATTATTCAAGTCCTAACACTGTAAATTGTTAAACATAGATCAAATTGAAAAGTAAGGCTAGCTTAAAAAATTTTTCTTTTTTTTTTGAGACAGTCTCTGTCACCCAGACTGGAGTGCAATGGCGCAATCTTGGCTCACTACAACCTTCACCTCCCAGGTTCAAGTGATTCTCCTGCCTCATCCTCCTGAGTAGCTGGGGTTACAGATGCCTGCCACCATGCCTGGCTAATTTTTGTATTTTTAGTAGAGACAGGGTTTTACCACGTTGGCCATGCTGGTCTTGAACTCAGGTGATCCACCAGTCTTGGTCTCCCAAAGTGCTGGGATTACAGACGTGAGCCACTGTGCCTGGCCTAATTTTGTATTTTCAGTAGAGACGGGGAGCGGGGGTTTCCTCCATGTTGGTCAGGCTGATCTTGAACTCCCGACCTCAGGTAATCCGCCCGCCTCAGTCTCCCAAAGTGCTGGGATTACAGGCATGAGCCACCATGCCCAGCCACACCTATTTTTTTAAAAAGTGCATTGTGGGACAGATCATGTAGCACCTTCCACTTAATTCCTATTACTTATTTGGAGGTAGCAGCACATGGTGGTTTTATTCTTTTCATTTAACTTTGTAAACCATTCAGGTTTATTTTATAATTAAAGGTAAGACAGGGATTTAAATAGAAAAAACTAGCCCATTATTATTACTGAGACAGAGTCTTGCTTTGTTGCCCAGGCTGGAATGCAGTGGTGCAGTCTCAGCTTACTGCAACCTCTGCCTCCCAGGTTCAAGTGATTCTCCTGCCTCAGCCTCCCAAGTAGGGATTACAGGCATGCGCCACCACACCTGGCTGATTTTTGTATTTTTAGTAGAGATGGGGTTTTATCATGTTAGCCAGGCTGGTCTTGAACTCGCGACCTCAAGTGATCCACCCACCAAAGCCTCCCAAAGTGCTGGGGTTACAGGTGTGAGCCACCACGGCCAACCAAAACTAGCCAATTATATCAGAACCATTTCGTAAGTGTATTAGGTTCTTCTACAGTGGAATCTCAATATTTCATAACAAATGAGGGCTATAAGGACCGAAGCTGAGCCAGGTGTCCAGGCCAATTAGAGGAAAATAACACATTGAATATATGTATCAAAATATCACATTGTACCCCATAAATATGATGAAATATTGTGTCCATTTAAAAAAATTGAGTGAAAGATACAGAGATTCCCCATATACTCTCTGCTCTACACACACAAAAAAAGAAAGAGAATAAAAGAAAAAAGGCAGGGAACAAAGCAAGAAAGAATGAGAGAAAGAGATATGGTTAGGCTTTGCGCCCCTACCCAAATCTCATCTATCTCATCTTGAATTGCAATCCCCACAGGTTGAAGGAGAGACCTGGTGGGAGGTGACTGGGTCATGGGGGTGGTTATTCCATGCTGTTGTTGTGAAAGTGAGTGAGTTCTCATGAGACCTGATGGTTTATAAGCATCTGGCATTTCCCCTGCTGGCACTTCATGTGAAGAAGGTCCTTGCTTCCGGTTTGCCTTCCACCATGATTTTAAGTTTCCTGAGGCCTCCCCAGCCATGTGGAACTGAGTCAATTAAATTTCTTTTCTTTATAAATTACCCAGTCTCGGGAAGTTCTTTATAACAGTGTGAGAATGAACTAATACAGAAAGACAGAAAGGAAGGTAGGAAGGAAGGAAGGAAGGAATGAAGAAAGGAATGAAGGAAAGAAGGAAGGAAGGGAAAGAAAGAGGAAGAAAGACAAAGAAAAAAAAAGAAAGACAAAGAAAGAGAGAATGAATAAAGGAAGTGGTTGTGATCGTGTGATCCGCATGGGGAACTAAGAGAGTTTCATCTGTTGATGCTGCAGAACAGACTTGCTGCTCTCTTTTGCTTTCCTTTTAACTCTTTGCGATCTTCAAGGCAAACCAGGTCAGTCCTGCCACCATGAAACCTCTTGCTCAGCTTCTCTTCTTTCTCCTCCAGTTCCAGGAAGGTAAGTGAGTCAGGGGCTCCTCTCCTGTAGCTTAACCTCTCAGGGTGTAGGAAGTCTACATGGGCACAGCCCAGCCAGGCCTTTCTAGAACTGAGGACCTCGTGTTAGGGAGATTGGGAGACAAACAGATAGAAGATGTCGAGAGGCTCTAGGACATAGGAAAGACTGACTAGGGAGTGAATGAGGGCAAGGAGGAAGAGGAAAAGAGAAAAATCGAAGGTACATAGGATAATGACATTGTGAATATCAGAGTTGGAAGGAATCTGAAAGGCTCTGCATTTTATCTCCCTTGTTTTAAAGAGAAAGAGAAAAGGACTGGAGGAATCAACAGGCTTCCCCAAAGCTGCACATCTCCATAGAGGCAGGATCAGGACTAAAGAAGCAGGTGTCCCATCTGTCATCTGAGATCTTCATATCACATACCACTGAGGCACCGGAACTGCAGTGACAGGGAACTCCAGTTCTGTGAGGAAGAAACATTTCAGAAAATAGGAAGTTGTGAGAATTGAAATCTCAAGGTGAAAAAAGAGGGACCAGGCAGGGCGGGGCTGGCCTCTGACTTCCTCAGTGGTCTCCATTCTGGTCTTCCAGTCCCAACAGCTCTCAGGGGAGCACAATCCGAGGGACAGGGATGAGTGATCCTAGCTGAACGGATCCCTGGAGTGATTCCCGGAGATCCCAGCAGGAAGGAAACTTTGAGCATTGCCCACTTTGAGCTCCAGCTGCAGCACCACTGCTCATACCTGTTTATGTCCAATGTTCTTGTGAGCTCTAACATAGGGGAGCTATGACTGACTTGGAGACTTGTGGGGAGGGACAATTGTCAGGGACATTCTGTAACCTTTTCCTTCTGTGTTTACAGGGAATCTAGTTTCACAAACCAGCTCAACCCCACTGATGGTGAATGGGGTTCTGGGGGAGTCAGTAACTCTTCCCCTGGAGTTTTCTGCAGGAGAGAAGATCAAGTCCATTACTTGGATTTACAATGGAACATCTATTGCCTTCATAGCACCCTCTGAAGCCAAAAGTCCACAAATCCACGTGACTAATCCGAAACTGGGAAAGCGACTGAACTTCACTCAGTCCTACTCCCTGCAACTCAGCAACCTGGAGATGGAAGACACAGGCTCCTACAGTGCCCTGATGTCCTCAGAGACCACTGTAAAAGTGTCCAGTTACACTCTGAGGATATTCAGTAAGTAAGGGCGTAGAGGACCAGGTCCCTGCTGGTAAGGGTGAGTGGGCCACCCACTAAGCCTGCTGGGCTGTATGACCCTTGGTAAAGGCCTTCTCCCAGTTTCACTCTTTTTGTCAGTCCAGAACCTTTCCTAGGTAGATTCTTTTTTCTTTTCTCTCCTTATTCCTTTTTGTCCTTCTTCAGTCTGGCAGCCTTGGGCTGTGGTTGTGGCTGATTGAAAAACATACAACTTGCTCCTTCTTTGTGCTTAGGAGTTGGGAAATGAAAGAGTCAGGGATCTTTCCACTGAAGGGGTCTAGATTTCTTGCTGGGTTCTTACTCCTTGATAACCTGAATCTTCTCCTCCTAGGGTGGCCTAGAAAGGTCCTTAATTGTTATTTGTATCATTTAAAACTATTGTTTCAAGCAGAGCGGCTGCCAAGGCCTCATGTTAGAGTGGAGTCTGTCATCTCTGAGAATGGGATCTGTAATGCCATCTTGAGGTGTTCTGTGGAGGAAGGAGGAGAGACCATTATGTATGAGTGGACATCAGTGGGACCAGGGGCTGCTGTGTCCCATGTGGGGTCCATCCTCAATGGCTCCTGGAGCCTTCATGATCTGGATTGGAGCTACACTTGCACAGCTCTGAATCCTGCTAGCAACAGCAACTCCACTCCTATCCATGCTGCGCAACTTTGTGCAGGTAACGGGCCCCTTTTGGTCTCTCTAGCACCCCTAGGAAATGTTTTGAGGTGAGGGCATGGCAGCCCTTGTCACCTGCCAACAACCCCATTCCACTTGCACACATGTGCTCTGTCCTCTCTCATTCTACTTTCTCTCTTTCAGGTTCCAAGGCAGCTGAAGGCACCTATTGCCTAGTGAATTGGCTTTTCCTGGGGAAGGGGCTTCTTCTCCTTGTGTTCCTTGGGGTCCTAGGAACTTGGTATATCCAGACACAGGTGCTCAGCAAACGCCTGAGGCCTAACTCAGGGTGATAAGAGGCCACCAGTACTCAAAGTGAGCCAGCCTGTGCCCAGCTGAAGCCATTACTTTTCTGTGGCTAAATTTCATTTATTGACCTCTTTTCAAGGTGAAGTACTATGGATTGTCAAAGGCCATTGGGATAAAAATTTTTTATTTTGTCATGTCAACGCCCATGTACATGCTTATTATTTTTTTAAGAAAGAAGTTTGGTCAAGAAGAGATAAAACAACTGCCTGAACACCATATGCTACCTATTCTAGGCATATTTTTTCACCGCAATTTAAGGTTTCTGAAATCAAGTCATAATATAAATGTATACAGCTAAAAGGAATAGGGTGTTTTTCTCCTGAAATATCATTATTAAAATGATCTGCTTTTTAAAAAAATCAGTGTTATCTTCTGTTGATGGGAATATAAATTAGTACACTACTATGGAAAAACAGTATGAAGGTTCCTAAAAGAATTAAAAATAAAACTACCATTTGATCCAGCAATCCTACCACTGGGCATATATCCAAAGAAAATTACATGTCGAAGAGATATCTGCACTCCCATGTTCATTGCAGCATTATTCACAATAGCCAAGATGCAGAAACCACTTTAGTGTCCCTCAGTGGATGAATGGATATAGAAAATGTGGTATATATACACAATGGAACACTATTCAGCTTTTATTTACTTACTTTTTTTTTTTGAGACAGAGTCTCACTCTGTTGCCCAGACTGGAGTGAAGTGATGTGATCTCTGCTCATTGCAACCCCCACCTCCTGGGTTCAAGCGATTCTCCTGCCTCAGCCTCCCAAGTAGCTGGGATCACAGGTAGGCTAATTTTTGTATTTTTAGTAGAATTGGAGTTTCGCCATGTTGGCCAAACTGGTCTTGAACTCCTGACCTCAAGTGATTTGCCTGCCTTGGCCTCCCAAAGTGCTAGGATTACTGGCATGAGCCACTGCACCTGGCCAGCTTTTAAAAAGAAGAAAATCTGTCATTTGCAATAACATAGGTGGACCTGGAAAACATTATGTCAAGTGAAATAAGCCAGGCGCAGAAAGATAAATACCACGTAATTTCACTCATAGGTGGAATCTAAAACAGTTGAACTCATAGAAGTAGAGAGTGGAATAGTGGCTAGCAGGGGCTGGGGTAGTTGGGTAGGATGGTGGGGACATGTTGGTCAAAGGATACACAATTTCAGTTAAGAAGAAACTCAAAAAAATCTATTGTACAATATAGTCACTATAGGTTAATAATATATTTTAACTTAAATAAAAATTTTAAATATCTTAAGAAACAGTACAAATCTGTTCAATATTTATTAGAAATAGATAGTTGGCACTATTTCATAAAATAGCACTTAACTGCTTTTAAAAGGCAGTAAGTAGCCCCAATAGATGCAAAGATACTCAGAATCTGCTAATCCAATCCTAGCATTAGGCAATTCATCAAAATTTAAATTTTCAACATAAATATCAAGTGAAGGCCAGGTGTGGCAGCTCATTCCTGTAATCCCAGCACTTTGGGAAGTCGAGGCAGGCGGATCATCTGAGGTTGGGAGTTTGAGACCAGTTTGGCCAACATGACGAAATCCTGTCTCTACTAAAACTACAAAAATTAGCTGGGCATGGTGGTACACACCTGTGATCCCAGCCACTTGGGAGGCTGAGGCACAAGAATCGCTTGAAACTGGGAGCTGGAGGTTACAGTGAGCTGATATTGTGCCACTGCTGTACCAGTGAAGACTCCAGACTGCAGCAACAGTTCTACACTTGAGAATTCCTTTAAATTTAGAAAAGTACAGACTAGTGTTCCAGAGGGAACATTAGGGCTTATCTTGGAGCCGAGACTCTAGGTGGAGACTGCCAATCACTGCACCCAACCCTCCAGCTACATCTTCTGTCGCAGATGTCTCACTTGTGTAGGAAACTCTCATCTCAGTCAGAGGGTGTGAGAGGAGACAAAATAAATAAAGCTCCGAATCTTGACCCTGACTCATAAACAGACTGAACCTTTCTTGGGGATCTTAATTTGTTCTCATGAGGCCTCAGCAATGGGCCAAACACCTTTAATCTTGTAAGGTAGGTGTGTTTTGCTCACATCAGTTTCTCTGTTCTCTACCTTCCTCAGTTCTATTTCTAATTGTCTTTCCTCCTTAAGACGTAATGCCCAGGCCGGGCGCGGTGGCTCAGGCCTGTAATCCCAGCACTTGGGGAGGCTGAGGCGGGCGGATCACAAGTTCAGGATATCGAGACCATCCTGGCTAACAGGGTGAAACCCTGTCTCTACTAAAAATACAAAACATTAGCTGGGCATAGTGGCAGTCACCCGTAGTCCCAGCTTGAACCCGGGAGGCGGAGGTGGCAGTGAGCTGGGATTGCTGCACTCCAGCCTGGGCAACAGAGTGAGACTCCGTCTCAAAAAAAAGACATAATGCTGTTTGTTAAGTCCATCTTCTGGTTTTTCCATTTTCCCCTCTTGGTTGCCATCCCCTCTCCATCCACTAGCCTCCTGTCGCTGCCTGAAAAATAGATGACAATTTAACAAACATTTGTTAAAAGCTTAATATGTTCCAGACACTATTCCAGACACTGGAAATACAGTGGTGAAAAAATCAAAATCAAACTTGTCCTTATTTTAGACAGGGGAATCCAATTTTTAAAATGAAATATATATTACGTCCAAGGTGATACAGAGAAAAATGAAAGCAAAGTAAGGGGTACAAGGGATACCAGGGAAGTAGGGAATGGCTCATTTATATAAATGTGATCAAGAAGAGCTCATTAATTAACGACATTTAGGAAGACACTTGAAAGAAATGAAAAGTTGGTTGGGCACTGTGGCTCACGCCTATAATCCCAGCACTTTGGAAAGCCAAGGTGGGCAGATCACCTGAGGTCAGGAGTTCAAGACCAGCCTGGCCAACGTGGGGAAACCCCATGTCTACTAAAAATACAAAAATTAGCTGAGCATGTTGGAGGGCACTTGTAATCCCAGCTACTAGGGAGGCTGAGGCTTTAACCTGGGAGGCAGAGGTTGCAGTGAACCAAGATCACGTCATTGCACTCCAGCCTGGGTGATAGAGCCAGACTCTGTCTCAAAAAATAAAAGAAAAAAAAGAGAAAAAAGAAAAGAAATGAAATGAAAAGTGAGTCATGTAGCTATCTGAGGAAAGACTGACTATGCCAGGCAGAGGAAACAGCAAGTTTCCTTTTGAAGAAGGTATCTACCTGATGTGTTAGAAGAACAGCTGGTGTGTCGGGACCAGAGTGGATAGGGGGATAATGGGAGGACATGAGGTTGGAGTGAGTGAGGGATCTAAATCATGGACAGCTTTATCATCCATTGCATGGATTTTGAGTTTAACTCTGGGAGAGATGGTGGGTTTGGAGCAAAGCCATGACTTAGCCTGACTTCTGCTCTCATTGGATCACTGTGGCTACCGTGTTGATAATGGACTGCAGGTGAGCAGGAGCAGAAGCAAGGAGACTGGCTAGGAGGTTATTTCAATCAGTATATGTTGAAAATGGAGGAAAGAGAAGAAACAAGAATGACTCCAGGGGCTGGGCATGGTGGCTCATGCCTGTAATCCCAGCATTTTGGGCAGCAGAGGTGGGTGGATCACCTGAGGTTAAGACTTTGAGACCAGCCTGACCAATATGGTGAATGATTGAAAAGTAAAGAAGGCTACATTTATGACACACCCTAGTTTGTGAATTAAGATGTCTATTTGTTATTCAATAAGCGGGTTTGCTGAATGAATAAAACAATTGAACAAATAAATGAAAATTAAAAATCTGAAACAGATCGATGTTTGCCCAAGGTGAATGTTTTTGATGAGGGAGCCATAGGCAAGGTGGACTATGATAAAAAGAGATAAACTCACCAGGCGTGGTGGCTCAGGCCTGTAATCCCAGCAGTTTGCTACTAAAGATATATATATATATATATAAAAATTAGCTGGGTGTGGGTGTGCACCTATGACCCCACCTAATCCGGAGGCTGAGGAAGATAATCCCTGGAACCCGGGAGGCAGAGGAGATGGCGCTGTTGCAATCCAGCCTGAACAACAGGGCGAGACTTGGTCTCAAAAAAAGAAAAAAAAGAGTTAAACTCTGTAAAATATTTGAAGAGATTTATTCTGAGCCAAATATGAGTAGTCATGGCCTGTGACACAACCCTCAGGATATCCTGAGAACGTGTGCCCAAGGTGGCTGAGGTGCAGCTTGGTTTTATACATTTTGGGGAGACATTAGACTCCAATCAAATACATTTAAGAAATACATTGATTTGGCCCAGAAAGGTGGGACAACTCGAAGCGGGTTTTGGGAGAGGGAGAAATGTGTCCTTCCAGGTTATAGGTAGATCTGAAATTTTTCTAATTAGCAACTGGTTGAAAGAGTTATCAAAATAAAGGAATGTCTGGGTTGCCGTAAGAGCTTGTGGAGACCAAAGTTTTACTCATGCAGATGAACGAACCCTCCAGGTAGCAGGCTTCTGAGAAAATAGATTGTAAATGTTTCGTTGATATTAACCAGAGAAGTATAACTAGATGAGTCCGACCCCTACTTCCAGTCATGGCCTAAACCAGTCATTCAGCGTTTTAGAGTGCCCTGGCCGAGGAGAAAGTCCATTCTGATGGTTGGTAGCCTCAGAATTTTATTTTTGGTTTATAACTAAAATAGAAGCACAAAGGTCTAGGGATCCAGAATCATGGTTTTTGGTGACCATGGACCTGGAGGTGATGGTATACCTTTGGTACCTAGGGTGTTTTCCTTGGGATCCTCTCTATGAGAAATGTAGGTGGGGTTTTATTTTTCTGGGTTCCTCTGGGTGAGGTGAGGTGCCTCAAAAGAAAAAGGACCAGTTTTGGCTTCAGGTATTCTATCCTAACCGTGAAAGCAGTTAATACCGGGCCTGGAATGGTAGATGCTCAGTAATTACAGGTTACTTCTTAGTCTGGGTCCTTTTCTCCAAACCTAATCCGTCTCATCACTTCTAGTCCCCGCCCCTTCTGAGCGCCCCTCCTCCGGCCTGTGTGATAGGCTCTTCCTCCGTTTCCGGCTTCTCGGACTCGAGGACCCTACGGTTTCCGGTGTCATGGCGGCTTGAAGTCCCGGGAGTCGGTGAGGCGGCTGCAGGTCCTCCCCTGCGGAGCCGCTGGTCCGGCTGGCGGGGATGTGACCGCGGGCTCTGCCGGCCTGCCTCAGGCGTCGCGTCAGCTCCCGTGTCCGTACCCTCAGCCCACACCGATGGCGGGATCCGGCTGTGCCTGGGGCGCGGAGCCGCCGCGTTTTCTGGAAGCCTTTGGGCGGCTGTGGCAGGTACAGAGCCGTCTGGGTAGCGGCTCCTCCGCCTCGGTGTATCGGGTGCGCTGCTGCGGCAACCCTGGCTCGCCCCCCGGCGCCCTCAAGCAGTTCTTGCCGCCAGGAACCACCGGGGCTGCGGCCTCGGCCGCCGAGTATGGTTTCCGCAAAGAGAGGGCGGCGCTGGAGCAGTTGCAGGGTCACAGGAACATCGGTAATTGCCGCTGTCTCCTTTCTCTTGTTGCCCAGGTCACAGTCCGAGCACACTCTCGCTGTGTGGCGTTCCGTCTTCCTCCCCTTCTACAGGAGAAGCGGGTCTAGCCCTCTAGTCACCCGATCCAGGCTCCTTTCCCCTTTCCCCTTATTACTGTCTGCAGTGGAGTGGAGTTGGTGGTCTGCTTTGCTCAGTGTCACATAGAGGCTCAGTAAATTCTACCTTGCTTCGAGTCTCGTCGGAGAATGCCGCATTCGTTAGCATGCAGAAATCTCTTTTCTAGTGAGAGGAGGCACGTCTTTGCTAGATTGTCATGTCTTCTGTGGAAATTTTTGAATATTTGCATACCAGTAGAAAATGGAAACTGTGTCTAGGGCTTGTGACATCAATGCTAGTAACTCATACAGCTTACCTGGTATATATTTATTACGGATTTGGAGGAAATGATTCACTGTTCCATGGGAGCCCTTATAGAAGTGTGAAATTTAGGAACGCTGTATCTTTGCTCCTGAGACTGTTTCATGACTCAGATATTCAGAATGTAAGATATGTAATGATCGCTGATGATTGATTTGTGAAAAGTCTTTATTTTCATTACAGGACAGAGAGCTTATCATTAGTTATAGCTTTCGTTATTAAAGTCTTATTTCTTAGCATGTATGATGCATATTTCAGTTGAAGAGTGAGTTTTTTTTTATAATACCATTTTGGAGAAGAATTAACACTAGTGCTACATTTTTTTTAGTTTACTAGTCTATCACTATAACCTTGGTATTGAAGAGGAAAAAATTTTTGTAAGCCTAAGGACTTGCTGAATCTCTGCAAGATTAGTTAAAATTTCATCTGGAACGTCTCAATCTCTTCGTTAGTATTTGGATTATAGAGAGCTGTTTATTTTTCTGGTTTTTTTTTTTTTTTTTTTTTTTTTTAGACAAATTCTCATTCTGTCATCCAGGCTGGAGTACCAATGGTGAGATCACAGTTCACTGCAGCCTCCAATTCTTAGGCTAAAGCCATCCTCCTGCCTTAGCCTCCCAGGTAGCTGGGACTACAGGCACCCGGCACCATGCCTGGCTAATTTTTTGTAGAGAGGAGGTCCCCCTTTGTTACCTATGCTGGCCTCCGAACTTCTGGGCTCAAGCAGTCCTGCCTTGGTCTCCCGGAATGCTGGGATCACAGGCATGAACCACCGTGACAGGCCTATACTGCTATTTTGGATCAAGAAGCAATCTTTAGTTTGGTCTTTGTACATTGTGACATTCCTTCTAAAAGAGTTACTTTATATTTGGATTCTTACTTTTTAAAATTTTCTTTTTTTTTTTTAAAGGACCTCATGATGCAGCAATATTATTTATTTATATTTTGTATTTTGAACTTTTAATCATTTTCACTTGGCACTCCAAGTTCATGTTCACCCACCACTGAGTACTTGGTGAAACACAAATAATTGTATCATATTTAGTATCTGTGAATGGTAATCAGCTATTGTAGGCTGTCTCATCTTGTTTTTATTAAAATAACCCAATTGCCCAAAGATCTTATCCATGGGAAAAATAAATTACAGTGGAAGCTTGTTCATCAAAGTTATCCTTATCTAGACTCTCTCAAATTTGTATTGCAGTTACCTACTTTAATAGTGACTTACTCTAAGTCTGATTCTTAAAATATTATAATTTCTTTTTCTAGTGACTTTGTATGGAGTGTTTACAATCCACTTTTCTCCAAACGTGCCATCACGCTGTCTGTTGCTTGAACTCCTGGATGTCAGTGTTTCGGAATTGCTCTTATATTCCAGTCACCAGGGTTGTTCCATGTGGATGATACAGCATTGTGCCCGAGATGTTTTGGAGGCCCTTGCTTTTCTTCATCATGAGGGCTATGTCCATGCAGACCTCAAACCACGTAACATATTGTGGAGTGCAGAGAATGAATGTTTTAAACTCATTGACTTTGGACTTAGCTTCAAAGAAGGCAATCAGGTAAGAAATAAGAAATAACCTTTTCTTTACTCTCGCAGTTGTAGTCGAAGCCAAGTGTTTTCAAATGACAGGGTAGTTTAGTAGGGACTTAGACGTCATTTTTATCTAAAATACTGAAATGCCAGGGGATGCAGCAAATCAAAAGAATTTCAGTGCCACCATTTTAAAAAAGGACATAATGTTTGGGTCAGGTAGGAGGAGCCAGTGAAGAAGGAGAGCTCTGGCATTATTAAAAGTACTTAACCTATATAGAATGCTATTTTAAATTTTATAACGTTTGACTAATTGCTGAGGTACTGTTCCTTATCTCTTCAGTATTTGGGCTGTATCTTATGGCAGAATGCATATGATAGTTCTGGCAAATCCTCCATTCTCCATGGTTTATTGTTTCTTTGCAGAGTGTCCTTATTATCAGCAGTGCCTAATAGGTAAGAGACAATCCAAAGAAGACTTCTTTATGAGCACTGTATGGAAATGTACAGCTTGCCTCTGAGAACTGCCCCCACTTAATGAACCAAAGAATATGATAACCAAGGGCTAAAAATTTTTAGCATTTAGTTTGGCAGCAGATTTACTATACTCTTAGGGAAATAAGCACACTGTAGAGATGGATAGAAAGGGAGCAGCTTTTTTGTTGGTTGTAATACTTATTTATCTTCTTTAGGATGTAAAGTATATTCAGACAGACGGGTATCGGGCTCCAGAAGCAGAACTGCAAAATTGCTTGGCCCAGGCTGGCCTGCAGAGCGATACAGAATGTACCTCAGCTGTTGATCTGTGGAGCCTAGGAATCATTTTACTGGAAATGTTCTCAGGAATGAAACTGAAACATACAGTCAGATCTCAGGAATGGAAGGTAAACGTCACCAGTGCTTTGCTTTGGGGTTCTTACTTTAAGAGTATTCAATTTATGATGATTCTTCTTCTTATTTTTTTTTTAATTTGAGACATGTTTCACTCTTTCGCTCAGGTTGGAGTGCAGCGACATGATCTTAGCTCACTGCAATTTCTGCCTTATGGTCTCAAGTGATTCTCCTGCCTCAGCCTCCTGAGTAGCTGGTATTACAGGTGCTTGTCACCACACCTGGCTACTTTTTGTATTTTTAGTAGAGACAGGGTTTCACCATGTTGGCCAGGCCGGTCTCGGAACTCTTGACCTCGTGATCTGCCAAATCACGAGGCCGAAGTGGTGTGATGACAGGTGTGAGCCACTGTTCCTGGCCAATTTATCATGATTCTTGTCTAGAATTCTTGATTACTTTCTGTTGTCCATACTCCTGTTTTTCTATTTATGATACTTAAACGCCACTACCCACTCCTATGGCTATCAATGTGCTAGTGAGTATTGCATTCTTATTGTTCCTAGCCTATGCCTAGGCTTGGCATGTAGTAAGTGCTTGATAAAAATGTTTGAATGAATGCATTTTCCTAAAGAATCGAAAGTGGTTTCTTTTGCTTAGTAACAGTTATATTGAGTTCTAAAGTGTTACTAATACAATCATAGCTTATGAATTAAATGATAATTTTTATAGATTATCTTAACTGCTTTACAGTTAAAAAAAATTATTTTTACTGGGCATGGTGGCTCACACCTGTAATCCCAGCACTTTTAGAGGCTGAGGTGGGAGGCTCACTTGAGACTAGGAATTTGAGACCAACCTAGGCAATGTAGTGAGACCCCGGTCTCTAGTAAAAAAAAATTATAAAAGGTATTTTAATACTTGTTTAATATCAAAACCAATAATCATTCCAAAGCATTGTATTTATTAAACCTCAAGAAATTATCCAGGGGTGATGGCACACACCTGTAGTCCCAACTACTCAGGAGGCTGAGGCAGGAGGATCACTTGAACAGTAGCCTAAAGGATACTGATACTATCACAACGTTAAAGCCCCACAATACCTTTGAAAACATACTGTAGTTAATTCCTAACTTACAAACCCACAAGAAGTTCATTCAAATATTAGAGGTTTGAAACTTAGATATTAAGCAACAATCATTTTTTGAGCATCTAATACATACTGTGTAGCTATTATAGCATACAGTTTTGTTTCTTTTAAATACCTAGTCACTGATTTCTGTTGTAGCATTTCCTGGAAGGAATACTTTAATAGCCCAGTGTATGTACCTGATGCTTGTATGGGTAAAAATTGCTTTCTTGGGAGTAAAATCAGTATCATTCTTTATTATTGGTATCCCAGACAATTGAGAGTCTATAAGTATTCTTTCTTAGTGCTAATCCAAACATAGATCAGTTATTTGAATGAGCTTTGACTATCTTTGAGTCTTTTGGACTGTATCTGTTTGGCCTAGATCACATTCAAATTTGTGTGAAATTCATAGGGACAATGTATAGTAATAGGATCTCCAATATATTCCTCTAGATAAAGCATTATTTTTCTGTTTTATCACTTTCTATGGGGGCAAAATTGCCAACTGATTATGAGCTTAGGCCCTAAAGTCAAACTACTAGGGTTTGTATTTTGCCTCCGCAAAGATCTTACTATTTATTTAGGTTCACTAAGCCTTGGTTTGCTTTCTTTAATATGAGGATAATAACGGCATCTATCTCCTAAGACTATTGAGATTAATAAGTGATACTTTTAGCAAGCAGCTCATGGTAAGTATTTAATATATTTAACTGATAATGATATTATCAGTTCTTTTAACTCATGTACACAGTTCTAAATTTTGAGTTAGCATAATATTCAAGGAGAAAGTATATTCTTAAAGATTTAGAGAATGAGTAATATGACAGATAAGATGTTTTAATACTGCCTCGTATTCTCTTTGATAGTTTATTTCTGTCTGAAAACCAGTTCAAGACTCATCACAGAGATACCCTGAGTCACCTATTACACATTCCTTTTTGCATTAAACTACATTCTTATGTGGTTACTTTGGTATTTATTTTTTATTCTTTCATCTAGTAGATGTTCATAGAGTGCTAGGTCCTGAAAATAGAGAAAAAAATGTTCTTCTCTAGAAGCGTATAATTATGTATATTATTTCCTCTGTTGCTGGGCATGATGGCTCACACTTATAATCCCAGCACTTTGGGAGGCAAAGGTGGGCAGATCACTTGAGCCCAAGAGTTTGAGAGCAGCCTGGGCAACATGATGAAACCCCATATTTACAAAAAATTAAAAAATTAGCTGGGTGTGATGGCACACACCTGTATTTCCAGCAAAGAAGGAGGATCACTTATATCTGGGAGGCAGAGATTGCAGTGAGCTGAGATTGTGTCACTGCACTGCTGCTTGGGTGGCAGCGCAAGACCCTGTCTCCAAAAAAAAAAGAAAAAGTGATTGTAGGCGCTCAGAAGATAGTGTTTTCTGTTGCATTTTACTCACTCGAATAGTGCTGTATGCCTAGTTCTCAATAAATACGGACTGAATAACCAAAGGAAGACTTTTCTCCCTTTCTTAAGGCAAACAGTTCTGCTATTATTGATCACATATTTGCCAGTAAAGCAGTGGTGAATGCCGCAATTCCAGCCTATCACCTAAGAGACCTTATCAAAAGGTATGTTACATGCACTGTAAGCTTGCTTTGCATACATGTACTATGTGAAGTGGTATGTCTTTTTTTTCTGAACAGATTTATATTATTATTTCTAGTTTGCTTGATCCATGTGGGAGTTTTGTTCCCCTGGAAATAAATCTATGCAGGCTAGCTTCCTATAAGGAACATAAGTAATCAAATAGTTTCACCAAATTTATTTTCAAAGGAATGTTCTTTTGCTCATAGTATCAATGTTAAGCTTTTCCTGGCAGCTACCTTTTCACTGGAAGATAGATAACTGAGCCACTGTACCTTTGGCCTCTCATAGCCCTGGCAGTTCTGTATACTTGATGGAAAGCCGATTTTTAAAAAGAGTCTTTATTAACTAAAGATTGAGTTTGCTTTTGCATTACTCCCTTCCCCCCCCAAAAGACCCAAAAACCATTTAAAATGTTTATCTTTGACAATGATCTGGGGACAGATACAGTGTTTCTGATATCTGAATAGATCCAAATACAATAGATATTTTGAAAATAGAGATATGTACAATCATGTCATTTGACAGTAGGGATCTGCTGTGAGAAATATGTCATTAGGTGATTTTGTCATGCTAACATCATAGAGTACTTACATAAATGTAAATGATACAGACTTGTGCCCACACCTAGGCTGTCTGGTAGTCTGTTGCTCTTAGGCTACAACCTCTGCAGCATGTTACTGTACCAAATACTATAGGCAACTGTAATACAGTGGTAAGTATGATTGTCTAAACATAGAAAAGGTACAGTAAAATTATAGTATAACAGATTTAAAATGGCATACCTATATAGGGCACTTAACCATGAATGGAGATTGCTGGACTGGAGTTGCTCTGGGTGATTCAGTGAGTGAGTAGTGAGTGAATGTGAAGGCCTAGGACATTACTGATGACTAAGAGTAAATGCTGTCTACTTAGCCTTCACTAAATTTATTTTAAAATTTTTGTTTTCTTCTTTTTTGAGACAGTCTCACTCTATCATCCAAGCTGGAGTGCAGTGGCACAGTCTTGGCTTACTGCAACATCTGCCTCCCAGGTTCAAGCGATTCTCGTGCCTAGCCTCCCAAATAGCTGGAATTACAGGTGCACACCACCATGCCCAGCTAATTTTTTGTATTTTTAGTAGAGACGGGATTTTACCATGTTGACTAGGTTGGTCGTGAACTCCTGAACTCAAGTGATCCACCTGCCTCTGCATGCCAAAGTGCTGGGATTGCAGGTGTGAGCCACCGTGTCTGGCCATAATTTTTTTTCTCCTCTAATCATTTAACCTTAGCTTAACTGTAACTTTTTTACTTTATAAACTTTAATTTTTCTTTACCTTATTTACTTTTTAAATTTTTTTGTTGAAAACTGAGACATAGGCACACCTTAGCCGAGACCTACACAGGATCAAGATCATCAATATCATTGTCTTCCACTTCCACCTATTAACCTACTGGAATGTCTACAGGGGCAATAACATGCATAGAGCTGCCGAGTCTCCTATTGCCTTCTTCTGGAATACCTCACAAAGGACCTGCCTGAGACTATTTTACAGTTAACTTTTTTGGGGGGAGGTGCACTCTAAAATAACAATAAAAAAAATACATAGTTATAAATACATAAGCCAGTAACACAACGATTTATTGTCATTATCAAATACAGGAGTTTTATTTACATCTATGTCCTATTACAACAAACACATTACTCACCTGCATTAACACAAGCATGTGAGTGATGTGTTACGATAGGACATTATAACTACGATGTCACTAAGTGATAAGAATTTTTCAGCCCAGTATAATTTTATGAGATCACTGTTGTATATATGGTCCATTGTTGACCAAAATGTCATTATGCAGGGCATGACTGTATTATTAAATAGTAGGTTTTTCGGGTTTCTAGACTATGGATCAGAAGTGAATAAAATAGTATGCTAGAAAAGTATGGATCCCTTGTTTGAGTTAGAGTGTTATAGTTTCCTTTGCATATTGGACCTATAAACCTTCAAAATAGTTTTATTAACATTTTGCTTTGAAATAGTTATAGACTCATAGGACTTTGCAAAAATGTTACAGAGTGGTCCCTACCATTTACCCAGTTTCCCCCAGTGATAACGTTTTGCATAATTGTAGTATATACAGTATCAGAACCAGTAAATTGAAACAGGTATAATCCACAGGATTAATTCTGATTTCACTAATTTAATGCATGGCTTATTTGTGTGTGTGTTTTTCATGTTAGTTTTAAATAGCTGTTAGTATCTGATTGATACGAGATATTATATATTGTGTTTTACATTGAAGAGATGGCAGTGAAAAATTATAAAATAGATTGTAGCCTGGAAGTTAAATCATCTAATATTAACTTTATTATTTGTTTTTTATTCTTTGACTAATAGACCCCCATCCATTTTACATGGATTATTAAATTTAGAAACTATAGAAAGAATTGATGAGGATAATAACAATTATTTACCTGTGTTCTAGTGTTAGCACCTTGGTATATTTCCTTCCACTATTTTTCTGCATATTGCATTATGTATGCATGTAAGTCACTTCAACCTTTTTTGTTGTTGAATAAAGCACAGATACTGAAATCACTAATTAAACAAAGGTGTAGCTTAATGAATCTGTAGGAACATTGTACCCACCTTGTAACTACTGTGTACATCAAGAAATAAAACTTTCCAGCTACCCTGGAAGTCCTGTATGTGTCTCGTCCCAATCTCATACATTTTTTTTTTCCTTGAGTGCCTTATATGTTACTGCCATGTGTTCCTGTTGAAAGTTTGATGACTCATAATTGCCTTTTCATTAAAAGTCACTTGGTCTTCCTGCCTGGCCAAGATGGTGAAACCCTGTCTCTTCTAAAAATACAAAAAAATTAGCCAGGCGTGGTGGCCTGTGCCTGTAATCCCAGCTACTCGGGAGGCTGGGGCAGAGAATTGCTTGAACCTAGGAGGTGGAGGTTGCAGTGAGCCAAGATTGTACCACTGCACTCCAGCCTGGACAACAGAGCGAGACTCCATCTCAAAAAAAGGGGCGAAAGGAAAGGCACTTGGTCTTCTTTTCTAGATTCCCGGAGGATTTTATCTTTTTCTTTAATGTTTAGTAATTTTATCCAAATATATTTTGATTTTGATTGTTCTGGGTCAGTATTCTCAGAAATATGGTATGCTTTTCACTGTAGTTTCAGATCTTTGTTTTTTTTTGTTTTAGAAAAGTGTTCTTAAATTAGACTTCTTAGTATTTTTTTTTCTGTTCTTTTTGGTTTTCACTTTTATGTCCTAGTGTACATATGTTTGATTTTCTTTGCTTTATATTCAATATTGCCATTTTTTCTCTCTCTTTCTTCTTTCTTGCTTTTCCTTTCTTTCCTTTCTTCTCCTCTTCTCCCCTCTCCTCCCCTCCCCACCCTTCCCCTCCCTTCCTTCCTTCCCTTCCTTCTTTCTTTCAACAGACTTTTTGCTCTGTTTCCCAGGCTGGAGTGCGGTGACACAATCTTGGCTTGCTACAACCTCTGCCCCCTGGGTTCAACTGATTCTCCCATCTCAGCCTTCTAAGTAGCCAGGATTACAGGCTACTGCCACCATGCCTGGCTGATTTTTGTATTTTTAGTAGAGACAGGGTTTCACCATGTTGGCCAGGCTGGTCTCAAACTCCTGACCTCAAGTGATCTGCCCGCCTTGTCGTCCCAAAGTGCTGGGATTACAAGTGTGAGCCACTGCGCCCAGCTGTCATTTACTCTTGAATCCATATTTTCTCTTTCATTATTTCTTTTTCCTGTCTTTTTTTATGAGGTCCTACCATGTGCCCAGGCTGGTCTTAAATTCAAGTGACCCTCCTGCCTCAGCTTCCCAAAATGCTAGGATTACAGGCATAAGCCACTGTGCCCGACCCATTATTTCTTTGTTATTTTTAAAAATAGCCTTCTTTTTGCCTACTATTTCTCTTTAAGACATTATTTGTTGTGTTTATTCATCTTTTTATCTCTTGTAGTGTAATTTTATTTTATGAAATGATTTTTTTTGTTTCTAATTCTTTCTTGAGTTCTATTACCTTATTTTTATGATTTTCAAATTTTGATTTCTGTTGCTCTTTCACATCCTGTATCATTTAAAAAAAATGTCCATAGTTCATTGAATTTTGACGGGGTACAGCAGAAACAAAGTCTTACTCTGTTGCAGGCTGAAGTGCAGTGGCGCAATCTCAGCTTATTGCAACCTCTGCTTCCTGGGTTCAAGTGTTCCTTCTGCCTCATCCTCCTGAGTAGCTGGGATTATAGGTGGACGCCACCAGGCCCAACTAATTTTTGCGTTTTTACCAGAGACAGGGTTTCACCATGTTGACCATGCTGGTCTGGAACTCCTGATCTCAAGTGATCTGTTCTTCTCAATCTCCCAAAGTGCTGGGATTGTGGGTGTGAGCCACCATGCCCAGCCGTTATAACCTTCCATTTCAAAATGAGCTAAATGGCCTGGCGTGGTGGCTCATGCCCATAGTCCCAGCACTTTAGGAGGTTGAGGCAAGCAGATCACTTGAGGTCATGAGTTCAAGACCAGTGTGGCCTACATGGTGAAATCCCATCTCTACTAAAAACACAAAAATTAACTGGGCCTGGTGGCATTTGCCTGTAATCCCAGCTACTCGGGAGGCTGAGGCAGAGGTTGCAGTGAGCTGACATTGTGCCACTGCACTCCAGCCCGGGTAACAGAGTGAGACTCTGTCTCAAAAAAAAAAAAAGGTAGACTATAATGTTCATCTGTTTTATGGTCGTATCTTTCTGGCATACATTAATTATCTGAGAGGTTTCATTTTGCAGTTATCTTCTTGTACAATAGATTCTTTTTTTTTTCTTTTTTTTAAGGCAGGGTCTTGCTCTGTCACCCAGGCTAGTGTGCTGTAGTGTGATCGCAGGTCATTGCATCTTTAACCCCTAAGGCTCAAGCGATCCTCCCACCTCCGCCTCCCAAGTAGCTGGGACTATAGGCATGTACCACCATGCCTGATTTATTTTTTTGTAGAGACAGAGACACATTATGTTGCCCAGGCTGGTCTTGAACTCTTGGACTCAAGTTATCCTTCCACCTTGGCCTTCTAAAGTGCTAGATTACAGGCATGAGCCACTATGCCCAGTCAGTTATAATCCTTTTTATGTTGCTTATTTTTATGTGTGAATTATTTTCCTAAACTTATAGAAGAAAATGTACTTGGGATAACTTTTCTAGTTATACAAGGCTCCCTTTTCTGTTGTTTTGTGTAATATTCCCGAAAAGTAAGGTTTTTTTGTTTGTTTGTTTGTTTTTCAGAGATTTTCTGGCTCTTCTCTTCTGCTTTTTTATGGCACCCCTTTCTCTCTCCCTTATCCTGTTCAATTTATATTCCGTTCCCAAGTTTTCTTCTCACTGTGGGCCTTTGCACTGAAAGAAAGCTTTCCCTGGTTTGTTTTAGAGAGGTCTTAGTGTCTAGATTACACCAACCTCTGAGGATTTTTACGAAGAATTCCTTGTATTCACTTAGTATTAGAATATATAACCCCTTATAGTTTCAGCTGCTTTTCCCCAGCAGCCTGCTGTTTTTCCAGTACCTTTTGGCCGTTTGGGGTTATTTTTTTCTCTGGTTCATCAGATGAATTGTAGCTTTCCTCTGCCTGCTTATACATAGATGCCAATATGGTGCAAATCCTACTACTATTGATAGCTTGTCACTATAGTTTTTTGTTTTTCGGGTTTTTTTTGAGGTAAGTCGCGCTCTGTCGCCCAGGTTGGAGTGCAGTGACGCAGTCCTCACCTGCACCTCCCAGGTTCAAGTGATTCTCCTGCCTCAGCCTCCCGAAGAGCTGAGACCACAGATGCACGGCACCATGCCTGGCTAATTTTTTGTATTTTTCAGTAGAGATGGGGTTTTGCTGTGTTGGCCAGGCTGGGCTCAAGCTCCTTACCTCAAGTGATCCACCCACCTCTACTTCCCAAAGTGCTGGGATCACAGGCATGAGCTACCACGCCTGGCCTAGTTTTTGTTTTTTAAGTGACTTATTTTTACTTAATAAATCCTTACCTGCAATAAGGAAGTAATGATCTTTTTATGCCACAAACATTTCAGTAGCTCTATAGAGATACATTAATTTTATTAGACTATAACAGCATCTCAGTCTTTTAATGACATAAAATTGTATGTATTTATCATGTATACCATGTTTTGAAGTATATATACATTATGGAATGATTAAATCTAGTTAATGAACAAATGTATTGCTTTATGTAGTTATTTTTTATGGTGAGAATATTTAACATTCACTCTCTGGTTTTCAAGAATCCAGTATATCATCATTAACTAGAATCACCATGTCATGCAGTAGATCTCTTGAACTTATTCCTTCTATCTGATTGTAATTAGGCATCTTTTGGCTTTGTCCAGTGTCTCTCCAAGTTCCCCTCTTCTGTAACTTCCCCACCCAGCCTCTGGTAACCACCATTCTACTCTGCTTGTGTGGCACTAAAGCTTTTTAGAATTCACATATGAGTGAGATCGTGCTGTATTTCTCTTTCTGTACCTGGCTTATCTCACTTAACATGATGCCCTACAGGTTCATCTATGTTGAAAGTAACAGGATTTGCTTCTTCTCAATGGCTGAATGGTATTCCATTGTGTGTGTGTGTATACATATATACATAAATACCACTTTTTTTTTGCTCATCTGTTTTTCTTTTTTCTTTTTTTTTTTTTACAGTCATCTTTTTTTATTTTTATTTTTTTAAGCTAACATCCAAGAAATGAACACTTACCTGTTAATAGATACTTAGGTTGATTCCATATCCTGGCTATTGTGAACAGTGCTGCAATAAACATAGGCATACAGGTATCTCTTCAACATACTGGTCTCATTTCCTTTGGATATATACCCAATAGTGGGATTGCTGGTAGTTCCTTTTTTTAAATTTTTTTGAGGAACCTCCATACTGCTTTCCATAATGGCTTTACTAATTTATATTCCCACCAACAATGTATGAGGATTCCCTTTTCTCTATATCCTTTGTCTGTTTGATAATAGCTGTTGTAGCACATATGAAGTGATACCTCATTGTGGTTTTGGTTTTTCATTTTCCTGATGATTAGTGATGTTGAGCATTTCTCATATACTGTTGGCCATTTGTATGTGTTCTTTTGAGAAATGTTTGTTCAGGTCTTTTGCCCATTTTTTAATTGGGCTGTTTGTTTCCTTGCTGTTAAATTGTTTGATCTCTTTTTTTTTTACTTTTTTTTTTTTTTTTTGAGACAGGGTCTTGTTCTGTCCTACAGGCTGGAGTGCAGTGGTATAAACATGGCTCACTGCAGCTTTGATTTCATAGGCTCAAGTGTTCCTGGAACTACAGGTACATATCACCACACCAGCTAATTTTTAATTTTTTTTTGTAGAGAGAGGATCTTGCCATGTTGCTCAGGCTGGTCTCGGACCCCAGGGCTCAAGTGGTCCTCCCACCTCTGCCTCCCAAATTTCTGGGACTACAGATGTGAAATACCACACCCAGCCAAATTGGGTTCTTTATATATTTTGTACCTTACTTCCCTAGCAAATGTATAGTTTGTAAATATTTTCTCCCATTCTGTAAGTTGTCTTTTTACCTTGTTTGTTGTTTCCTTGGCTGTGCAGAAGATTTTTAGTTTGATATAATCCCATTTGTCTGTTTTTGCTTTTGTTGCTTGTGCCGTTGAAGTTTTGGGTCTTACATTTAAATTATTAATCCATTTTGAGTTGATTTTTTTGTATAGGTAAGAGATAAGAGTCTAATTTTATTCTCTAGTGTGTTGATATCCAGTTTTTCCCAGCACTATTTATTGAAAATACTGTCCTTTCCCCACTATGTATTCTTGGTTGTAAGTGTTTTTTTCCCCTGGGGTCTCTGTTCTGTTTCATCAGTCTGCGTGTCTGTTTTTAAATCAATACCATGCTGTTTTAGTTACTGTAGCTTTGTAGTATTTTTTTGAATTCAAGTAGTATGATGTTTCCAGCTTTGATCTTATTTCTCAAGATTGCTTTGGCTATTTAGGGGGTCCTTATAGTTTTTGCTATAGATATTGTCAATGAGTTTTTGGTTTTGCTATATAGTTGGGTTTTTCTATTTTTAGTTGTTTATTTATTTAGTTTTTGAGATTCTGTCTCTCTCTTGTCCAATAGTCTGGAGTGCAATGGCATGATCTTAGCTCACTGCAACCTCCACCTCCCGGGTTCAAGTGATTCTCCTGCCTCAGCCTCCCAAGTAGCTGAGATTATAGGTACCTGCCAATGTGGCTGGCTAATTTTTGTATTTTTAGTAGAGACAGGGTTTCATCATGTTGGCCGGCTGGTCTCAAACTCCTAACCTCAGGTGATCTGCCTGCCTTGGCCTCCCAAAGTGCTGGGATTACAGGCCTGAGCCACTGCGCCAGGCCTAGTTGTTTTTTTATTAGAGAAATTTGATAAGCTTCAGCAATCATCCAACTACTATCTTTTTTGTGTGTGTTACCCTAAATTTGTGTCTAGCTTTTTTTTCACTCACTGTTACAGTGTGTGGATCACTTTGCAGTGTTTCATTTATTAATCAAAAGTGTTATTTTAAATCACAGTATACTGTCATTGGTATGTATCATGAATTACTGAACCATTTACTAATAAATAGCATTTGTATTCTTTATTGGTGAATGATTTGGTAAATCATGCTAATATAATTAATGCTGTGATAAACATTTAGACATTCTTTCTTTAATGGTTGCATTTTCAAAAGATTCAGCAGAAATGATAAGCCACCTATTTTTGTGTTTTAGCATGCTTCATGATGATCCGAGCAGAAGAATTCCTGCTGAAATGGCATTGTGTAGCCCATTCTTTAGCATTCCTTTTGGTAAGTCATATATTGTTTTATTTTTTTTCTTGGTCATTTGATAGTCATATAGGACATCAGCACTAATTTATATTCCCAAGTTCCTTTATCTGATGTTCAACTTAGTTGGAGGGATTTACATTTAACCGTATTATGATGAATTTTAACAGCCCCTCATATTGAAGATCTGGTCATGCTTCCCACTCCAGTGCTAAGATTGCTGAATGTGCTGGATGATGATTATCTTGAGAATGAAGAGGAATATGAAGGTTAGCATTTTCTAAATTATATTTTAATGTGTCTTTCTTAAATAAGTCTGGAATAAACATATCTGTAACATTTTCATATTTTCCCAGTTTATCTAATGAGAATATTGAACAGTGTGATCCCTAAAATACTCTCACTTTTTTTTTTGAGATGGAGTTTCGCTCTTGTTGCCCAGGCTGGAGTGCATTGGTGTGATCTCGGCTCATTGCAACCTCTGCCTCCAGGATTCAAGCCTCAGTGTTCCAAGCAGTTGAAATTATAGGCATGCACCACCAGGCCTGGCTAATTTTGTATATTTAGTAGAAACGGGGTTTTACCATGTTGGTTGGCTTGTCTCGAACTCCTGACCTCAGGTGATCCACCAGCCTCAGCTTCTCAAAGTTCTGGGATTACAGGCGTGAGCTACCGTGCCCAGCCCTCTCACTTTTTTATTTATAATGTCCTTTTGACTTTTACGTTTCATCTTTACCCAGTTAACAAAGAAGATTAATTTTCCCAACAACTTATATCTCTCTGCTCTGTCTCTTTTAGCCATTCCCTGTGCTTACATTTCTCCATTTTAGCTTTCTTTTTTGCTTTTAACATTCATTCATTTAAGACATATTAACTGAGTATTTACTATGTGCTGTTGTGGGATTACTTCCCATCTTAATTTAGTAGGGGAGACAGATACGTAAACAATTATAGTTGTGTTAATCTGAAGATAGGGTACTATACAAGGGCAGAAAGGACAAGTACTTAACTCAGTCTGAATAATTGGTGAGGGCCCCTCTACAGAGGTTATATCTGAGCTCAGTAATTTGGAGTTGCTGGGCTGAAAGTTGAGGGGTTAGGTAGTAAGTAGCACAAATACATAGAGATGAAAGTGTCAGAAAACAGAAACTTGGCATGACTGTATCTTAAGGTATTTGTTGGGGAGCAATCAGTTAAAGCCAACAGGGTAGCCAGAGTACAGACTAGTTTGCTATGTTTAAGAATTTGGATTTTGTCCTAGAGATAGTAACACCAAAATACAGATACATGAAGAACTTTGCATCAGGTATAGAGTAATATCTAGCTTATGGTAAGTATTCAATAATACTTAATATTGAATAAATTCAATAAATATCTGTTCTTTGTTGAATGCATTAAGGAGTTTATTAAATAAATTTAAATGGGAGGATGACATAGTCAAACTTGTGTTTTAGTAGGGACATTCTGGAAACGGGGAGTGGACTAAAGCAGGGCCAGACTTGGACCAAGGACAACAACTGTGAAGTACTTGCATCAACCTAGTATTACTTCTACTAGAGAGGCAATTTTGTGTAGTGGTTAAGAGTGTGGACTTACAAAAATTATAGCTGGACGTGATGGCACACACCTGTAATCCCTGCTGATCGGGAGGCTGAGGTGGGAGAAGTGCTTGAACCCAGAAGGTAAAGATTACAGTGAGCTGAGATTGCACCACTGCACTCCAGCCTGGGCAACAGAGTGAGACTCCATCGGTGGGGGCGGGGGGTGGGGGTAGAGTGTAGGCTGAGTTTACATTATGCCTCCATCACTTACTAGTTTCTTTGCAGTTTTCTGCAAAAGAAGGAAACAACAGTTTCCTCATGTATAAGATGGAGATAATAAATAGTACCTATCTTGTAGAGTTGCTGTGAAAGTTAAATAATATATAAACATTTTCTAGAACAATGCTTGGCAAATAGTAAGCACTCAACAAATATTACCTATCAGTTCCCACTAGAATATATGCACTATACAAGCCAGTTTATTTTGTTTATTGCTATATTAATGTCACTGACCCACAGTAGGCACTCAAATATTTATTATAGGAAGAAAGATGGAGAAATAATTCACAAAGGGCTATGTGTAATCTGTCTAAATGTAGTGACTGAATGGATATGAGAGCAAGAAGTGAGGCGGGTTTGGCTTTTGCATGAGACATCTGAATTGAACCACTGGAGAGATGGTGGTGCTAGTTAAAGAGATAAGGAATAAAGGAGAAAAAGCAGGCCTTGGGGATTCATTTTGGACAAGAGGAGAGATGCCTCCTGTACTCACTGAAATAGGTTGGAAGAGAAAGAATTTTTGTTGTGGCTGTATCTAAGTTATGGAAGTTCCTGCATAGTAACCAAATATTTTCTATAGATGTCCTTTATTACTCAATTTTGAACTTTTAAATTTTTCCTATTTATCATTGTATTGACTTTCAGGTTTTAATTATTTTGCTAACAAATGAGGCTCGAGTATCTTCTAGATTCTTGACCTATTTTTAATTTCTGTGTCTTCTGCCCATAAATTATCAGTTTTATATCCTCTTAATATTTAAAATGGAAAAAATTTAAAGCAGAAAGCTTTATTTTATACTGTTTCCTTTTTCCTTTTACTTCGTTTCTTGTTCTCTGGCTTATCTTAACACTTAACTTTGTGCCTAGTACTTTATATATATTACTTAAGAGGTGGTAGTTATTTTTTCAGTTTATAGATAATGGAGGTAAACTTAGGCTTAGTCACAAAGCTAGTAAATATTTTAAAAGCCAGATATTTAGATGTGTATATCTATCTCTAAAGCTCTTTTATTTTTCTATTTAAAAATAGTAATTGCGTAATATTCAGTCTTCTCCTTGTAGAAAATTAAAATGTTACAGATAAGGCTAATTATACAATAGTTCCTCTTGTAAATCGTTCCATGTCCCTACAGTGTAGTGAGAGAACTGTAATTTCTTTGAGACTGTGACCATTTTAAGAGTCTTGAGTTTCCAGAATATCTGTCTGAAAGAAAGTCTTGCCTTCAGCATTGTTTCATGTCACAAAAGTCCAGTGGCTCTGAATTTCTTGGGATCAGTTGAAAATGCTACTTACGTCCTTTCAGTCTTCATCTTTGTGATGACCTGCTATCTTCATCGCCTCATCCTGTCTACTCCAAATAATTTTTATAAAACTGAAGCTTGGGCTTTTTTTAAATAAACCTTTAGACTACCGTATCAACTCTTCTATCTTGCTATGACTTTTTTCTGCTTTTAAATACACTGAGTCTTTACATTTTGTTTAAATGTTGCTGTCGAATCTGAAGTGAACTAAACTGCAACGGACAATATAGTACCATTAAATACCTTTGTTACTTTTGATGAGCAGGTTCATCATGAAATAACAAATTGCTTAGCTAGAAATTATGGTATGTGTTGGAACAGCTGTCTTGTAATCTTGATAGAGGCAGGGAAGAACATTAAACTTTACAGACCAAATTAAATTTCAAATCAAATAAAGATTAAAATACTAAAACAAGTAAGGGAATGAAATAGGGAAGGAGAGAAAAGAAAGGTGTGAGGGAAGGAAGTAGGGCAGGTGGGAAGGAGAGAACTTTTTAATATAAAAAGTCATTATAGAATTTTGTTATTTATTATTCCTGACGTGGAATATTAAACTCAGAAGCAGTAAAATTATCATTTTACTTCATTTTATGACCCTAAGAATTGTGACCCTAAGCAAGATTAGAAGACAAATGATAGTTGAAAGAAAAAACATTTCTAGCTCTTGTTACAGTTTATGGAAAAGGAAGTAGACAAGTACTTTACACATAGGCTTTTCCTCTCTATTGTTGAAATGTGAATTGGAGCCAAACTGCAATATCTTTTTACCCATCAACCACATTGATAATGATGAAACATTAGATTATCCTCTTGTAAGTGAGCGCATAGGAAAACAGACATTCTTCTACATTGCCAGAGAAAGTTTACATTGGTAAATCTTTATAGAAAGCAAATTGGAAAAATTACAAATTTATGTCCATTTTGACCTAGCATTTCCATTTCTGGAATGTCAACTTAGAAATACACAAGTGAGGTCAGGCGTGGTGGCTCAAGCTGTAATCCCAGCACTTTGGAAGGTGGAGATGGGCAAATCACCTGAGGTGAGGGGTTTGAGACCATCCTGACTCTCATAGTAAAACCCTCTACTAAAAATGCAAAAATTAGCTGGGCGTGGTGGCACATGCCTGTAGTCCCCGCTAGTCAGGAGGCTAAGGCAGGAGAATCACTTGAACCTGGGAGGTGGAGGTTGCAGCGAGCCAAGATCATGCCACTGCACTCCAGCCTGGGTGACAGAGCGAGACTCCCTCTCAAAAAAGACAAAGAAGCCGGGTGCGGTGGCTCAAGCCTGTAATCCCAGCACTTTGGGAGGCCGAGGCGGGTGGATCACAAGGTCAAGAGATCGAGATCATCCTGGTCAACAAGGTGAAACCCTGTCTACCAGAAATACAAAAAATTAGCTAGGCATGGTTGTGCATGCCTGTAATCCCAGCTACTCAGGAGGCTGAGACAGGAGAATTGCCTGAACCCAGGAGGCGGAGGTTGCGGTGAGCCGAGATCACGCCATTGCACTCCAGCCTGGGTAACAAGAGCGAAACTCTGTCTCAAAAAAAAAAAAAAAAGAAGACAAATATGCAAGTGAAATGAGATATGCATGGGGGGGTTTATTGTGGTACTGTTTTAAGTGATAAAAGTTTGGAAATTTTTAAATTATTCATCAGTACTGGACATATTAGATAATATATTAATGAGAAAATTTTATGTGATAATTTGGAAATACCTTAAAGGATGTATTTAATATAAAAAGCAAGATATTTGCTTTTATAATTTCATATTTGCTTGTATAAGTTTATACTAATAATGGCAGACTACAGACATAGTAGTCTGTAGTGAGAAGAACTAGGCAGAAGAAACTGATGTTACCTGTTGCCTTCAAGGAGAGTAGAAGCTGGGAGGAAGACTATTTTTTAAAATTTGGAGTCATTTGAATATGTCAACTATTCAACACATAAAATGACCTCATTACTAGTTATGTATTTCTGAATTCTTTGATGATTGAAAAATTTCATATATTGAATACTTGTTAATTATATCAGAATAGTTACTCTTATATGTTTTAATGATCAGATGTTGTAGAAGATGTAAAAGAGGAGTGTCAAAAATATGGACCAGTGGTATCTCTGCTTGTTCCAAAGGAAAATCCTGGCAGAGGACAAGTAAGTGAATATTTTTATAATTGCAGAATTATTCCGATGTGATTAAAATTGTGTTAAATGTTTTAGTTCTGTAGGAAGATGTATAAAAAATTTTGCTGAGGATTATGGTTTTGCATTTTAAATGAGTTTTATATTCTGACTTGTACTTTTTACTTCTAAAGGTTCTATAATATGCTTGTATTTTTTTTTTTTAGCACTTAAAATTTGTTTTAAAAAAATATCGGCTGGGCATGGTGGCTCACACCTATAATCCTAGCACTTTGGGAGGCTGAGTGGATGGAATACTGGATGTCAGGAGTTAAAGACCAGTCTGGCCGACATGGTAAAACCTTGTCTGTACTGAAAATACAAAAGTTAGCTGAGCATGGTGGCACATGCCTGTGATCCCAGCTACTTGGGAGGCTGAGGCAGGAGAATCACTTGAACCCATGAGGCAGAGGTTGCAGTGAGCCAAGATCCTGCCATTGCACTCCAGCCTGGGCTGGGAGGAGTGAGAGTTCGTCTCAAAAAAAAAAAAGACTACTTTTGAGCTCTGTAATCGGTAACACCAGGCCAGGCGTGGTGGCTCATGCCTGTAATCTCAGCACTTTGGGAGGCTGAGGCGGGTGGGTCACCTGAGGCCCAGAGTTCAAGAGCAGCCTGGCCAACATAGTGAAACCCCGTCTCTGCTAAAAAGACAAAAATTAGCCAGGTGTGGTGGCGAGCGCCTGTAGTGCCAGCTCCTTGCGGAGCTGAGGCAGGAGATTTGCCTGAACCTAGGAGGCTGAGGCTGCAGTGAGCTGAGATGGCTTCATTGCACTCCAGCTTGGGTAACAGAGCGAGACTCCATCTCAAAAAAACAAAACAAAACAAAAAAAACAACAGTAACACCAACTGCTGAATCATGCTTTATGTCAGGTTTGGCTAGAGAAATGTTTTAGTCTAATTTTGTTCCAATTAGGTAGAGTTAGAAAACCAATTAGGTTAGGTTCTAATTGTAATAGCAACTGTCGGCGATAGTTTAAAGAAGGAAAGTGTGTTGGACTGAGAATTCTTGAACCTGAGTTCTAGTCTCAATATGATTAGCTTTGTGATGATGCTCAGTTTCTTCATCTGTAAAATAAGTGAGCTAAAACTGTTATCACCACATTTTTATAAGAAACTCTTAATTCCAAATTAAATTATATGAAGAATATAAGAAAATATTTATTTATAGTATTTTTATTTTCTGAGAGAATAGAATATTGGGTTTGCTGTATCTTAGGGTTTCTCATTCTTGACACTGAGGCTGATATGTTAGAGTATCTGTCCTCTACATTATAGAATGTTTAACAGCATCCTTAACTTCTCCCCGCTTTGAACAAAAATGTCTCTAGATATACTGCCAGATGTCCGCCCTCTAGTGGGTGAAGTTATCTCTGGTTGTGGATTGTTTTATCTTTTTTTTTTTTGGAGACAGGGTCTCACTCTGTTTCCCAGGCTGGAGTGCAGTGGCGTGCTCAGCTCTCTCCAACCTCTGCCTTCCAGGCTCAAGTGATCCTTCCACCTCAGCCTCCCAAGTAGCTGGAACTACAGGCACATGCGCCACCACACCTGGCTAATTTTTTATGGAGACTAGGTTCCACCATGTTGCCCAGGTTGGTCTTGAACACTTGAATTCAAGTAATCCACCTGATTCAGCCTCCCAAAGTGCTGGGATTGAAGGTGTGAGCCACTGTGCCCAGTTATTATTTTATCTTGATAGCTTAGTATTATGAACATTCTTGGCAACTGAAAAAATATGAACGTAATTTTATTCTAGTTCAAATGAAAAGTTATTGCCAAGCTAATGTGATAATACTTTCGGTTTTTTTGTGGGTTTTTTTTTTTTGTTTGTTTTGTTTTTGTTTTTGTTTTGAGACACAGTCTCGCTCTGTCACCCAAGCTGGAGTGCGATAGCGTGGTCTTGGCTCACTGTCACCTCTACCTCCTGGGTTCAACTGATTCTCCTGCCTCAGTCTCCCGAATAGCTGGGGTTACAGGTGCCTGCCACCATGCCCTGCTAAATTTTTGTCTTTTAGTAGAGACAGGGTTTCACCATGTTGGCCAAGCTGGTCTCAAACTCCTGACCTCATAATCTGCCTGACCTCCCAGAGTGCTGGGATTACAGGGGTGAGCCACCATGCCTGGCCCATGATACAGTTTTTATGTCATTTAGTGTCATATACTGAATACTAATAATAATTGTGTCCTTGCTGTTTGGTCATTTAACTTTTATTTATTGAGCATTTATTATGTTCTAGGTAACTGTCATAAAAGTGGTCAAATCAGATTTTTTCAAATGGTGATAAGTGCCAGGGAGAAAAATAGATTAAGGAAGAAACTTAAGGAGTGCTGGGGTAGGTAGAGTGGGTTGCAGTTTTAAATGGGTGATAGGGAAGGACATACTAAGAAGGTTACATGAGTCAATATTAGAGAGAAGCAAGGAAGAAAATTTTAGGCAAAAGGAACAGCAAGATCCGAGGCTGTGAGTATTCCTGGCAGATTTGAGGCCAATGTGGCTATAGTAGAGTGAGAAAGAAAAATAGTAGGAGATTAAATCAGAGAGGAGATTAAGGAGCGGTAGGGGGCATATTAAGTAGAGTGAGTCTGGTAGAGCATTGAGATAACAGTGGCTTTTACTCTGAACTAGGGCACAGTATTGGAAGATTTTAAGTGAAGGACTAACAGGATCTGCCTTAACCCCAGTGGTCAAAATGAAGTAGAAGGTACAGAACAGAGAGACAGGAGAAATCTTTTCCAGAAGGAAGTATCCAGGCTTGAGATGATATGAAAAAAAATATCAGTGAAAGGAAAATTGCAATTTTGAGAAGTTTTCACTGACATTTAAAGGAGAATGAAAGCAGCTTTTGACAAACTCTTGAAATCAGAGAGTTAATCTATTTAGGCTTTTGAAAATGTTCATTACCTGCTGACAAAGCCATTCTTCAGTTGAATTTTCAATTCAAGTAAACATGATTTTATAAGGAATATTACAAAAACCACTGAAAAATAATGATGCCTCTGATAATGCAATTATAAAAAGTAATCAGGATTAGAATGATATAGCCCTTTTAATTTCATAATGAATTATAAAAATAAGATGTGATGCTTAGTGTGGGATGGTGCATTAATAAAAAAAGTATAGTCTAAGGCCAGGTGTGGTGGTTCATGCCTAAAATCCCAACACTTTGTGAGGCCGAGGCGGGCGGATCACAAGGTCAGGAGATCGAGACCATCCTGGCCATCAACATGGTGAAACCCATCTCTATTAAAAATACAAAAATTAGCCGAGTGTGCTGGCATGCGCCTGTAGTCCCAGCTACTCGGGAGGCTGAGGCAGGAGAATTGCCTGAACCTGGAAGGTGGAGGTTGCAGTGAGCTGAGATCATGCCACTGCACTCCAGCCTGGCAACAGAGCAAGACTGTCTCAAAAAAAAAAAAAAAAAAAAAGTATCATCTATTTGAACAGAGGAGTATGATAGAAAACAATACTTCTGTAAATGCATTCCTATTCATTTATTGAACTTTGGTCTATAGGATTGGGAATAATTAAGAATCAGGTAAAAAAAAATCAGAAATAAATTCATTATTCTTTTTTGTGGAAGAGTAGGGGGAGACAGGGTCTTGCTCTGTCACTCATGCTGGAGTACAGTGGCGTGATCTTACCTCATTGCAGCCTCAGCTTCCTGGGCTTAAGTGATACTCTCCACTCTGCCTCCCAAGTAGCTGGGATTACAGGCATGCATCACCACACCCAGCTAAATTTTTTATTTTTTTGTAGAGATAGGGTTTTGCCATGTTGCCTAGGCTGGTCTTGAACTCCTGGACTCAATCTGTTTACCCACCTCACCTCTCAAAGTTATGGAATTATAGGTGTGAACTGCCATGCCCAGCCAGATTCATTATTTTTATTAAGCATTATGTTCTAACTTCTTTTGCATTTAATGAAAGCATATATATTGCTAAAACTGGTCTTGCAGACAACTTACACTTTTACTTTTATAGAAAGGTAAAATATTAAGTATTTCTAAGATGAAATAAAATGGGAATTAACCGATTAGTTTATATATTTCATGATACAGTTCAATAATACGGGTTTTATTTCATAAATTACACCTACTTAGAAAGAAATCACATGAAATTTTATCAATAGCATTTTCCCCATGCAGTTTTACTTAGACAGCCTTTCTGTCTATACTGGTGTGGCCATTTGAAAGTGCTTTTATTCCCAGTTAATGACACATTTTAGGGATATGTTTTAATAATAGCTGGCAAGCACCCATTTACCTTTATATGTGTAAAAAAAAAAAAAAGGCAATATTTAGCATTAGATGATCTCTACTTTGTCTTAAAGAGCAATGTGTAGCTTAAAATAGCCATGGGATAGAAGATGCAAAGCCAGTCTCACTTCTCCATTTTTCTCTATATATAAATTCAGAAAATCCCATCACAGGCCCAAAATATCCTAGGTCTCATGTCTTATATTACCCCTAACAGAAATATTTGCATAAGATAGTGAATGACAAGCATGGGCAGGACATGGGGTTGTGTGTATTCACAAAGGAGGATTCCATAAAAAACAGACTCCTGTATTAGGAATTGCCCCCTTTTTGTGTCCTGAAAGTTTTTATAAGTAGCTTTGTTATTTCTCAAGTGGGAGAAGGGCTCCTTTGAAAGGGGAAATGAGAGGGGATAACCTTCCTGAACTTGTAGGTTGATGAGTTTTAGGAAAAGGTACAAGTGAAAGTTGAGAATCTAGAAATTGATTTTCTTCTAAATGAACTATTCTCACATCCCTTCAAAAGTCTCTGAGTGTCCTAGGATGCTGGAATACCAATTCAAAGACTATTATTGACAGAATGAATGAGGCAAACAACTGAGGAGGGAGAGGCAGTTATTCGTTTCAATTACTGGTTTACAGGGTAACTGAGGACAAATTATTTCAAATCATTGCATCTTCCTCTAACTTTTGCTTTAGGTCAAGCAAAAAAACTTATAAATTATTTTATATCCTCTTTCTGTCTCAGGTAGGAATTCAAATGCTCTGAAAAAGGAAATTACCTAGTATTAAATTTCTTCCTTTACTATAGTTATGATGTATAGCTTCTACAAATTGTACCTCTTAAGAGGTGCCGTTTCTAGCGGTTTTTGACCAATATTTTTTCCTTTTTCACTTCTAAAAGTACGGATTATCTTCCAGGTGTACCATGGAAATGCAGTTGCTATCTGGGCTATTCAGCCATGTCTGTGGCAGATGTCTAGTGCTATTCATCACTTCTGTAATGACCTTGGCAAAAGGTTGTCCATGATTCACCCACCTTGTCTTTGAGAGATTTTTCAGAATTGAGCTGAGTTGTGAGGAAGTATTCTAAACCATGCTGCTCTAGAGTATAGTCCATGGACCAGCAGCACCAGCAGCATTGGCATCAACTGGAAGTTTGTTTAGAACAGAAACTCAGGCACCTTTTTAGACCTAAGGAAGCAAAATCTGCATTTTAATAAGATCTCCAATTGATGTACTTACATTAAAGGTGATAAAGTACTGGTCTAAAACAATCTTGGTGGAAATGAAATGACGATTTTTTTTCTCTGTCTTCTTTCAGGTCTTTGTCGAGTATGCAAATGCTGGTGATTCCAAAGCTGCTCAGAAATTACTAACTGGAAGGATGTTTGATGGGAAGTTTGTTGTGGCTACATTCTACCCGCTGAGTGCCTACAAGAGGGGATATCTGTATCAAACCTTGCTTTAATCAGTAACCTAAGAACTATTTCCTTTTTCTCCTCTTCCATTTCTTGGGTTATTGTATTCCACACCTGAATGCAGGAGCACCCCCTTACCATTTTAGGAAGGTACTTTGTACGTTTATTTAATCCTACTAATGTGCAGCCATTGCCCAAGCAGTGACTGCATTGCATACATTTGGCACTGAGTAGGACAAGACCTCTCAGCTATACATTGAGGGGTTTTAGAGCATCCATGTGGGTAACCTATTTTTGTGCAGGAGAGCAGGCGCTGCTCTTCCGTATGTAACCTAAAAACATATTAATTAATTTGTGTGATCATGAAGCAAGAATGAATAATATGTCTTGGTAAATACTAACAAATTTGTTAAGTTTGGTGACATCATTTACAGATTATTTCTTTATGTTGTCCGGTGGTTCTTCCTTATTGTTGATATCCATAAGCTGGCACTGGATGCTCTCAGTAATGTTAAGTAATTGTCAAGCAGCAGTTACCTACTGGGTTCTTAACACTGAGTTGTGAATTTTTTCTTAAAGGAGTACTGTAGTACTGAATATTCCTTTAAAGGAACTGCAGTGAGCCTATCTAAGATTTTTTAAATTAAGGCTTTTAAAATAGAAAGCTGATGCTTGATCTTGCACAATTTTTATGTCTAGTATGTATGCTTGAGTGAGTGCACAGGTATGAAAGATTAGAGAAAATTTGAGTCACTCTACTTTATAGTGTGAATCCTGTGAGCTAATACAGTCTAAACTCATTTCTTCCATACCTGTTTCACATCGATAAGATTTAGGATATGTGTTTTTTGAGAGGTGGTCTGTCTGATACAATGTAAGTGACAAAACAGATAATTCATGAGAGGCTCAGAACAAACTGGAGTCTAGCCTGGAGTTACATTGAGACTTCTAAAATGATCAGAACAAAGACTAAGTTTTGCCACATGTAAATCAACCCCTCTTTCAGTCTAATTTAGACTCTGTATTAGCTCATCTTTTTTGTACTAAATCTATAGTTTTAAGATTTCTCAAGATGTGGCTCTACCTACTATGATGGAAAATTGAAGTGGGTCGAAAGAATTAGATATACAATAAAGGGAAAAGAAAAAAATGGGTGAAGGGAGGATAGAAAATAAAGAATTCTTTTTTCTTCCTTTCTGTTTCTCATATCCCTGCTCCCTTTTCCCTCCCCTTCTCTCATTCTCTGCTTCTATCCGTACCTGAAGATAGAGGAACAGCATCCCAGGTAGTTTGGCTTTTGACTGCAAGGAAGTTAAGAAAGGTGTAGATATAATGAGATAGAAGTAGAAAGGAAGAAAAACTTAAATAATTCTTAAGGAATTCTTAAAAGGATTCTTAGCAACCTGATGTATCCCTTAGTAGAGAATGCTGGTATACGTGAGTTCATGGACACAAGTTGATGACACGGCTTTTAGAATTATAATTATGGATTCCTCTTACATCATGGTAGGTTGTCTTTAAAGATATAAAAATTAAGACACCTTTATGAAGCACTGATTATACCAAAAAAAAAAAAAGATTATTAATTTTTTTATTTATTTATTTTTTTCCTAAGGAAAAAGTCTTTTATATCTTTCCCTGCTGGAAGCCTCCTCATAGTTCCTTGTTTGCCATGCAGGTTGCTGAGAGTCCAATTAGAATTTGCATTTTAGAGAATGAAATATTTATCCTATTCAAACAATTAGTGTTTGACATTTTAGTTATTTACAATTGTCAAATTCAGGACTCTCATTTAATGTTTATTATGAAACCAAATTTGACATAAGGAGGCTGATTTGTGAATTACCAAAGGGTCTTGTGGCATGTTCCCCAATATGTGCCCTTAGCAGGAAGAACTGTTATTTTTTGTTTTGACCCTTTCAGAGGTTGATTATAAATTGATTTGTTTTCAAGTCAGAATTCAAGTGGGCAGAACCAGTATTGTGAAGACCTAAACTTTCCTAAATGTTCATATGGGTAACAGATTTTGTGGTGATTAGAAACATCTGTTCCTTAAGGGCAAGTATCCTAAGTTAGCACTTGTACTTTTCTCTCCCCTCCTCCCCCAAAAGAAAAGTCCTTACACATAAACTGCAGTTAGGCTTCTAAGCGTAGTCCTGCAGTGTGCTGCTAACATCTTGATGCCGATCTTCACAGCATTCTTGGATTGTCATCTTATTGCTGATACATTCATACATATATTTAGTGCTTGACACTGTAGAATTTTATTACAGAAGATGCTAACTAGATTTTAAGGGAGCTGAGGGAATAATTGATGAGCCTTGAATTAACCATGCATTTAATTAAATGTTTTATATTAAAGCCAGAGAATTTAAAAAAAATGCCTCCTGTGATTTAAATTATTTTATAGCTCTTAGCCCATTCTACCAAAGATGATATTAGCAGATAACCCCTCCATCTTCTTATATTATCAGAAGTTTAATATCTTTCTTAAACCTGAACCAAATATTATCAAAAGATTCAAGTTTCATGATCAGGATGAAATACATACATAGGGATTTTGATTTCTTGAAATTACTAAAAAAACAAGAAATTTTCTTTTTGAGAGGAAGGGTAAAGAGGTGAGGTTTCATGTCTCTTAACCCCTACCCTTTGGGTCTAATTTTATCTCAGGTAGTTTTTCATTCCCTAGATTAATGCCTGTGCTTCCTTGCCTCTTGCCTTCCCAGTTACTTCTTCCGAAGTATTATTGTGGTACATTTTACACCCAGAAAAGGTTCATGCAGTGATTATTCTGTAGGAAATACTTGATTCTTTTAAAATATATTTGGAGGGGGTAGCTAGCTAGCCACTATGAGAACTAATGCTGTATTTACAGGACAAAAACAAGTAAAGTTGGACATCTCAGTAAGATAGAGCATTGACTAAAAGTATTGACTGCCTTTTAAAGGAGTTTTTAAAACTATCATCTTGCAATAAGAGATTGCGTTTATTACCACTGGATGTCTTCCTTTTTTGTGGCCACCAATATAGCAGCTCTCTTTAGAGGGATTTCCTTTCTGCTATGCCTTGAGCCAAACCGGCTGCTTTTAGAACAAAAATCGTAAGTATAGATTTACTCAAACTTCTCTTTGTTTTCATTGAGAGAATTATTGCCTTCTTTTTGGTACTCCAGCTGCTAAAGAGTGCTGAGATATGTTAAATTATTCTTTAAAAGAAAATCTCTGAATACTTATTTAACTCGTCTTCTAGATTTGTGTTGCTTATATTTTTTAACTATTAAGCAAATTTATTATAAAGATTGCTGTCACATAGAGAAAGCTGAAGGGAACCATGGACAGAAGGCTTTTTTTCTGTCTTATCATACTGGACCTTCACTCTGGTAAGGGCATCAGTTACTTTTCAGGAATAAAAGGCAGAGTTGGAGCACTTATCAAATGCTGTTCCATGGCTTACTTTATTAACTAAAGTTAAATTCACCATGCAGATAACTAACATTTTGGTATCTTTTTCTTTTAGATCTTGTTTTCTATTAGGCCTGTCTTACACATAATTACTACCATCAGTTATACTTGGCAGTATGACTTTTTCTTTTTCTTTTATTCTTTTTTACGATTAATTTAATGAAAATCAGCATTATTGTAAATGATAGTAATTGTCACAACATAGTTACTGGGTGAAGGAGTAGGGGAGACACTTATGCAAGGGTACATGCTAGGTGGCTTTATTCAGATTGGGGTACAGATGGAATCACATCATGACTTTGAGTCTGGTGGATGTGTAGATAAAGACGTAAGCAAGTGCCTTGTGTTTCCTGGAAAATACTAAAACTCATTTGGATGAAAGCTTCTCAGATGATGATAATTGATAGCACTTCTGCCTTTTACCTGGAGTAACTTTTAGATTGAGTCATATAGTATAAAAGTCCAAAATTTTCTTGGTTTACCTTTTGTTTTATTTTTCACATGTCTGTCTATATTACTATTTTTTCACTATCTGCCTGGAAATAGCCTTGGTTTACCTTATTTTTTAATATGTGTAAAACTACTCATATTTGATTTTATTCCAATATTACATATGATGGAAAAGCCAGAATTGTCTGGCAGAATTCAATTCTTCCTTGGATCTCTAGTTCTGTTTTTTGTTTTTATTGAGACAGAGTCTCGCGCTGTCGCCTGGACTGGACTGTGCAGTGGTGCAATCTTAGCTCACTGCAACTTCCACCTCCTCTGTTCAAGTGATTCTCCTGCCTCTGCCTCCTGAGTAGCTGGGATTACAGGTGTGTGCCACCATGCCCAGCTAATTTTTTTTTTTTTTTTTTTTTTTTTTTTGGTATTTTATTAGAGACGGAGTTTCACTATGTTGGCCAGGCTGGTCTCGAACTCCTAACCTTATGATCCACCTGCCTAGGCCTCCCAAAGTGTTGGGAATACAGGCGTGAGCCACCGCGCCCAGTCTAGTTCTTTTTTTAATACCAAGTTCCTTTGTCAAATTTTATTACCATAGCTCTCGGATATAATTGTATTTCTTGTCAATTATGGTCACATATAGACAAGTCGTTGGTCACAGTTTGCTCAAAAGAATTCCCATTTCTTAAGGTGCTCAGTAAATCACTTTTATTTTGAGATGGTAGTTTTTCAAGTTAGCATTACTTACTAGCTTTCTCAATGAACATAAAAATGTTGTCTCCATCATATGGAGCTGAGCCTCTTGTGGTATATTTAGATAAGTCCCGTTCTTAATCACAGAAGAACATGTATATTTTAGTTTTTGGAGTACCCAGAATTTTGAAGATTTTGTTTCATTTTGTTTTAGGATAGCTTCTCTGCCTCATACTATAGGATATAACATGTTTGTTATTGTAGCTGCCTCCCTTAGATGTTTTTCACTATTTTTAGAATTGCATAATGACCAGTAGATTCACAGTGGCATGTACTTGACAAGTGCCGTGGATATTTAAGAAAGTGGTAAATAATTTTAATATTTTTGCTGTAATTTTATAGGAGAAATGAACTTAAGAGAAATATCTATAAATCAGAGCGTATTTAGGAAATTTTATATTTTATAGGTGGTCATTAAAGTGATCTGCAGGATATAAGATAGTTTACACAAATTTTATTCTCCTGATAGGAAATTGTTACTCATTTTCCTACCACTCAGCACTTTTGTTCTGCCTTGTACTGCTTATGTGGATTAATGTTTTAAATTTGCTTTATTTGTGCTTTTCAGAGTTGTCATAATTATGGCAGTTGTGTTTGTGGCACTGTAAATGCTGAAATTCATGGAAACCTATGAAGTGACTGCTCGAGTGTTATTTCGCATTACATTGGGTAGCTGTCACAATAACCAGAAGAAAGCTGGTGGCTCTTTTGAAGAAGGCCATGTATGTTTTGTTATCTCAGTTCATAGTATTTTAATTTAAAGGCAAAGAGAAGCATTCTGTCTTATTTGTCTTATATAACCATTAATCTTTTTTGTGCAGAAGAGAGCTTATTTTGTTATACTGCTATCAATAATGGAAATAAGTCACATTATGGGGGAAAAAACTGGAATTACTCATATTTTGTTTTGGGGGGGAAATCTTTATGTGAAAATCAGAGCTACTTGTTACCATGAGCCCTTACGATCGATAATTATTTGTAATCACTTTTTGTATCCCAGGTTGGAATTGCTTTCCCTTTCTGTCTTCCCTTAATAATATTTGTGATATCAGGACAATGAGGATATAAGAGCAAATGTAGTGAGGTATTCAAAAATCCTGCATATTTGGACTAAAATGTTCTTTAGTTATTTGAATTATATGTAGCTGTATTATTGCATGAGTTGTCAGAAGATTGCCAATTTTAAGAGTAAAGAGGAGAAAGATAAGTAATAAAAATAGAGGAGGAAGAAAATGGCTCCCTTACTGGTCTTAGTAATCTCCCATATAGTTAATGAGATAAAACTGATACTTAATATTTTAAGTTCCAGGTTTGGTACCACTAGCATAGAAACATTGCCTTTCCTATACATTCCTCATCATTGTTTCCTCAGAAAATTATTTTAAGGGTTTGTGAAACCAGATTAAATATCTATATTCAGTTTGGCCTAATTTTTAAAAATTAATATTTATACTCCAGCTGTTGTGTATTTGGTGTACATCACCACTTATGCAAATCAAGGATCAGAAAACTGGAGGTTAGCCATCTCCATTATTTCCTTTTGCACATTGGGTACAGTGGGTGGCATTAGTATGCACTAGCTGCAAAGTTTCAGCACCTTACGGAAGTAAATATGTTTATTATAATAAAAATAGTTAAGCTGAATCTCTGTAGATTACTTACTTTGCAGAGCCTAAAGCTGTCATATCTTTTCCAGCAGAATTTACTCTTCCATTCTTAATTCTTTTCTGAAATATCTTAAATAATTTAACATTCCTTTACAACCTCTTAGTAGTGTCAGATCTAGGGTAGAAGGGATTTTTCCCCCCAAAAGGGCTCTGTTTTTGTATCCGTTGATCATTCTTAGAAAATCTAATTATGATCAATAAATTTTAACAGTTGATGGCATCCTGTGTCAGCTGGAGTAGTTGGTTGTGAATATTAAAACCTAGTACTATTTTCCCTTAGTAACATGTAATTGCTACATTTTTGATAAGAAGGTATGGTTAGAAACAAATGTGAAAGATCACTTAAACCAAAGCCAGTTACAAGGAGTAATCTCTCCTGTTGGTTTACCTTCACCTCAGAACTACAAGAATATTACAATACATAGTGAAGAGTTGTCTGTAACATTTCTACCAGTTGTTTCAGTAGCATATTGGTCTTGGCATTTCTTGGCACTCTGGTTCTGTATTCTTTGTGATGTCTCATTGTGAGATTTTGTTTTGTTGTTGTTGTTGTTTTTTTTTTTAAAAAAAAAAAAAAAAACCACAAAAACTAAGTGGGATTATTTATGTAGATGTGTGTCAGTACCAAAAAGTTATTTTCTCAAGTCCCTAAATTTCTGATTTCCATTCAAGTCTTTTAAACTCTTTTTCCTGCTGGATAGCAAAGGACTTTTATTGTTCACTTTCCTATATTCCTAAAAAGTATGAACAATGCATTTCAGTTGACTGTATTGCATACTTTTTTGCTGAAAACTTTTTCTGTAAACACAATGGCCTTGTTCAGTTTTGTTGTAAACTGACGCACCGTAAGATGCACTGTTGATATGCTTCCCGATGTGTGTTTGATAAGAGTGATAAAATAAAAGCTTAAAAGTAAAGGAGTTGCTTTTTAATTTCAACTATTTCTGTACTTAGTATAAATACTCAGGTAACAGGTAAATAAATATATATGATTTAATTCTAACTCAAAACTGCTATTAAAAATGTCCATGTAACTTCAACCATCCATCTCTA